CATAGCAATCATGCCATGACGTGCCGGCTATTGTCTCGTGTTGCCCAAATCTCTCTCCCTCCCCAACCTATCACCTGTCATGGCACTGGCACTGAATTTTCAAATCGGTGGACTCAATTCAATCAAGTTGTTCAGTGTAAGAAATATCAGGTTTAAGCCTCAGCTCCAAGACCATGGGAAAGTCCTCATTTTACCCTCGTTTATATAATATGTAGGTAAGCGTCACGCTCCGGTAACTTTTCGAGGTAACAGTACTCAATGCTGATTCAATGAGGAGCTTCTCACATCCGCTCTTGTCTTTTCCAATAGTCTATGAATTAAAGTGAGGTTTTGAAAATCCCACGTCCAAGTGCACTGTTCTGCCGAGATTCTTCACATGTCTCATGCTGAAATGCAAAACCCTCACCATATATTTGTTACGGCTCAGTGTAATCTTGACCTTGACGGCCATTTTATCCGGGGCCACACTTCCTTTGGCCCCCGGCTCGGGTACCTTGGACTCTCCTTAGTTCCACAAACGTGCCCCGCTGCTGCTCATGCATGCCGTTTACATATGCTGTTCCCTGCCTGGAATGGTCCCTTTCTTCCTTTTCACTTGGAGACCTTCCACACGGTCTTTAAGTGTCAGCTTCATTACTACTTGGTCCTGAGGGGCTTTCCTGATGCTCTTGTAGTAACTAAGGTTCCCTGACATCTGGGCAGAAGGCCCCTGGAAACACGTGCAGGTTGTATGCCTACAAGAACTCATAGGATGCTTTCATGACAGAACATGAAGAGGACTTAAATCTTTATAGTGGCAATTTGCAGAAGAGTACTAATAAAGTGTCTTGAATAAGAGGAGTCCTTTTTTATTTTTTATTTTATTTTATTTTAACTTTTTAAAAATGCTTTTATTCATTTTTTTTTTTTTTGAGAGGGAGAGAAAGAGAGAAACAGAGCATGAGCAGAGAGAGAGGGAGACACAGAATGTGAAGCAGGCTCCAGACACCAAGCTGTCAGCACAGAGCCCGACACGGGGCTCAAACCCACAAAACGTGAGAGCGTGACCTGAGCTGAAGTCAGACGCCCAACCAACTGAGTCACCCAGGCGCCCCATTTATTTTAATTGTTTAATGTTTATTTATTCTTGAGAGATAGAGGCAGAGTGCAAGTGGGGGAGGGATGGAAAAAGGAGACAGAATCTGAAGTAGGTTTCAGGCTCTGAGCTGTCAGCACAGAGCCTGACGTGGGGCTCGAACTCATGAACTGTGAGATCATGACCTGAGACGAAGTTGGACGCTTATCTGACTGAGACACCCAGGTGCTCCTTTATTGCTGCACAAACTTGCTGCCTTGGCTATTGGCTACCTTGTTTTATTAAACATGTTTCCTATAAAACACCTACCAGAGGTCACTGTACTTATTAATTTTTCATAAAATGAGAAAGAAACTTAGATTCTCTCACACTAGATTGCACAACCTGTTTGGGAAAGGATTGCCTTTGTCTTGATTATTGTCACCTGCCACTTGGGGACCTGTGGCCACATCCGATGAGTGAAGTGACTCGGAACCTGCTGCATTCTGGCTCTTCATGGACTACATTGACCACACCCTTGTCTTATGCAAACGTAACTGTACCCTTCAGCTACACACTCATGGCAGGTTTGTGTCTGTTAGAGTCACAAAAAAGCCAGTTGATTACAGTTTACTGGTGGGGTGCCTGGTCTATACAAGAGAAGCGCCAAAGCACCCATCACCCAAGACCCTTTGTAGCAATAAGCAACGAGCATCACTGAAAACACATTTGCAGCTTTAAAAGTGCTTTACGTGCAGTTATAAGGATAGTGTTTACATTGAGCAGAGTGGCAGGTAGGATAAAGCGCTAGTAAGTTGAATAGTCTGTGCTGTGTATCAGTGCATAATCGTGTACAGCATTTTAGCAGTTTATTTTTTCCTCACTATTTTATAAGGGTTTCTCCAATATTATGATAAAATCTCATACTCCTGACAACCTGAGCACACACAAGCAGCCTTCCTTGCTGTATTCAGACACTGGCCGGTTTCCCCTGGCAACTGCAGCTGATTTAAGGTTTCTTAATGCCCTGTTCACTTTGGATTCACTTTATTTTGGCCAACAGTTTGGTTGAAAAAAGGAAAAAAAAAACATTAGTAGTACTCAAATGAAACAAAACTGCTTTTACCAAAATTAGTAATCCTTTGTCTTCAAAAGACTGTCCCAACTACCAGAGTTTTCTTATTCATGATCAGAATGAGAAAAACATTTTAGTTTAGAAGTCCCAGAATGAGTTCTGCTTTCATTTTAGAAGTATCCAGCAAATCTCTGGGTGTAGTCAGATACACTACGTATCTTTATGAGACGCACAGGATGATCAAAAGTTCAATTCACTGGAATTAATTGGACCACCTTGGAGATGTCCTTAAAGTGCTTTACCTCTTTAAAGCTTCAGCTAAATCTTTTCAAGTAATCTCTCTCTCTCTTTTTTTTTTTGTCCTTGACAAATAACCCCTCCTATATATGTTTTGTCTTTTGGGAAAGAGTGGCCCCACATTTGTTCCCTTACATGAAATCATTCTGTGCAATCAGCGTATGACAAGGGCCAGAAACATCTCTTTGAGCCCAACTCAGTAATGTCACCAGCTGTGTGACCCCTCTGTGAGCTAACTACAACAGCAAAAGCTAACAAATGTGGTGAGTGCAAGAGGAAGATAAGTATTGTAAATACCCTTTCAAAACTATGTTGCACAGAGACGATTGTATATATCTTTAATGCATGAAGTCATAGATAAATAGACATAGATAAGTAGACAGGTAGATAGATAGATGGATAGATGGATAGATAGATAGATAGATAGATAGATAGATAGATAGATGGATAATTCTGCCTTTCTTGGCTAATTTTCCTTTAACATACCATTTTTACTTTCTTTTGAGATACTGCTTAATTTTCAAACAATACTTCTTCTGGGTTGCTTTGGTAGCAGTTTGGGATCCCTCTGGCAGGAAGTGAGCTCCCAGACGTCTGGTAATGACTGTCTGCCATCTTCCTAACAGAGAGGGACCTCAGACACATGGAAAGCCCACCGTTCTGATGTTTTGTGAAGGTGGATGTCATCGTCTAGTGAAGATCTGCAATCGAATCTAAAAACATATCAGATTTGATAATTTTCAAAACTCCTGTGGTGCCCAGGGTTGGAGAGATTCTGTTAGGCAAAAGAGAGCTTCCTTGTTCTTCTTGGCATCACACTCCTCAAAGGGCTGTGCGTTCTGAGCTGTGGTCAAATCCCTGTTTAGGGTTCCCAATATCTTGAGCGAGGTTGGAGCTCTCTTCTGCGGTCCGCTGATAAATGGAATGGCTGTGTCCGCCATTGTGGTGCCCACGTGTGGGCATGGATCTGAGCTGGGGGAAGCAGTGGAAGATCTCCTTTGTCTCCAGAAGTCAGTCAGCCTTGGACAAGGAATCTACTTCAGAAACTCAGGCGCCTTGGTCTCCTGGCATCCTGACTCCCATATCCAGTTGGGAAAGGGGAACATTTCCACTCCTCCCTCAAGACCTTCACTTCTTCCGGAGCTGAGCCTACCTTTGTCTTCCTTCCTTTTCCTCATTGTCCCTTGGGCCCCATTGCCCGAGAGCCTCTTCCACCCAGCAGAATCGGACTCCCATCCTTGGGCCAGCTGCGTTATGCACAGAAGTGATGATGCCTGAATTTCCCTATGGGGGTTCAGGTCCTTGGGGGTTTCACAGAGAAGGCATCCTAGTGATGGAAGAGTAAGGAGAATGTGATGGTTGCAGAGATTCATAAGAGACAAGAAGACATCGTTTCTCAACTCCTGAACCAACACTGAGGCCTGTGTGAGCAGAGTGTTTCACCCCCCAGCAGGTAATGCGACACACACAGGTAATGGCTGTAAGGTGCAGTCTGGGTGTCCTCTCAGAGAAGACTAGAAGGGACAGAATGCACAGAAACAGTCTATTGATGCGTTTCAGACCATTACTAGTGTGCCATCTGGTCTCATGGGATTATCTTGCTACTATCCGAATGGGTCATTCAAATAAACAGAAGGACACTTTTTCTCCTCGCTTGAGAGACAACTTCCCTGGAACGATGCCCACAGGAGTTCTAGACAACGTGACGAATGATCCAGAAGCATTCTCGCACTGAGGGGCATAGCCTTCCTCGCTACTAAAGCTCAGTGGCACAGCGGCTCTGTCTTGGGGGCATCCAGGAGAGGCTGATTGAGTCTCTCAGGGAAGCTGGTGACCTGGGTGAGCCTCCGGGGGCGGGGGGGCACGCGGCTGGGCCCCGCCCCCGGAGGGGGGAGCGGGGCGGGGCGGGGCGCCCCCGTGGACTCCGCCCCGCGGGCCCGCGAGCCGACCCAGTGCGGGCCGCGTCTTCCGGACTGAGCTGCGGCGCGTCGTGGGAGCCGCGCGCCGAGGCGCGGGGACGGCGCTGGGCTGCAAAGGCGCCTCCGCCGGAGCGCGGGCTGCGGGTGCGCGGCGGCCCGCAGGGCTGAGCCGGCCCCGGGAGCGCGCCGGGCCGCCCCGGCCAGGACCTGCGTCCCCGGACCGCCGCGCGCGTCTCCGGGAAGCGGAGGTGAGCTTTGGGGCGCTCGACTTTCGAGGAGCGGCTCTTGGGCAGCGCGGGCTCGGCGCTCCAGTGCGCGCTTGTCCCCGGGGGCTCAGAGCAGCGGCCTGGGGACAGGTCCCCCGGGGACCGTGCCTAGGACAGGGCTGGAGGGGGTGGCGGATTTCAGGGCCGGGGAAGAGGAGCGAGGGCTGTGCGCCTCGCCCGGACGGCAGCGAGCGCTCCGCCGTCCCTTTCCCCGCCCTCGGAACGTGCGCCGGGGTGGCCTTCGGCGGGTCCCGGGCTCCCCGCGCCGCCGGCCCCCGCGCGCTGGCCCGTGTGCCCGCAAAGTTTGCGTCTCCGGGTCCAGCCAGTTCTGTCGCTCCCGCAGCCCCGCAGGTGCCGCCTCTCCTCGCCGCGCGCCGCAGCCGCCAACCATGGAGTCCCCGGTCCAGATCTTCCGCGGGGAGCCGGGTCCCACCTGCCCCCCGAGCACCTGCCTGTCCCCCAACGGCAGCGGCTGGCTGGCGGGCTGGACCGAGGCCGACGGCAACAGCAGCGGGGGCTCCGAGGGCGCTCCGCTCGAGCCCGCGCACATCTCTCCCGCCATCCCGGTCATCATCACCGCGGTCTACTCGGTGGTGTTCGTCGTGGGCTTGGTGGGCAACTCCCTGGTCATGTTCGTGATCATCCGGTGAGTGCGGGGTCTGTGCGCCGCGGTGGCTGAGTTGGAGGGCGGGGTGGGGGGACGTGGGGAGGCCGGTGCAGCCGCCTGGACCGCGGGTGGGGCGCCAACCCGGTGGCGGGGACCCTGACCCGTCCTTGCCGGGCTCCGGAGAGCCTCAGAGGGCGGCCTCCTCGAAGTAAAGTGTTCCTGTTTTGGAATACCGGGCAGCCAGAACTGTTTTGAGGACTTGAGTGACTCTCCTCTTACCCCCCAAGCCCTCGCGGAAAACTGTGGTCAGGCCAAGTACTAGGGTGTGGAGCAAGGTCAATGTCTCCTGCAAAGGAAACTCCTTCCTCTGCCTGGCCTTTTTGCCTGGTTGCCCGCACCTGTTTGGAGGGCTTGGTTTTGTCTTCCGTAAATATTTCTTAAGGTAAAATTCAGGTCCATCGAATGCACTGGTCATAATTCAGAATTTCCTGTGACTCATCAGATTGGTGTTACGGTTTATGAAGCAAAAGCCAGTATACTATTTCGAGTTGCTGGTATCCACACATGAGTCCCTTTCAAGCACTGAAATGTCATCTTGTTTGTTAAGAATATCAGTGATTTTTGTAAATAAGCCATCTAATATTTATCCTCTGAAGTGCGGGTTGTGGAGGTTTTCAAAAATTGCTTAGCTTTTTATTTTCCACCGGGGGAAACTAAAGGTTCTGTTTTATTGTTCTTTGGTAGAATTTATATAGAAGTCATTTCTAGTAATGAATACCCAAATATCCACGTATATAGGCTAGTTTCCTGGTAAGTGAAATGATGCTTATTTTGGTCTCTTTCAACAAAGAAAACAAGAAAAGAAAAAAAAATCCCCACTTTGGCCTGAAGGCCCTTTGAAATATATGTGTATTACTTTCTGGGAGATTTAATGCTTTGGAAATGCACCTTTGAGAGTGGGTAAGGGGCTTACATTCCTTTGAGAAGTCCTGTGAAGTAAAGGACACAAGTCACTCTTTCCAGGGATATTGAAGGATGGATAAAACAACAACAACTTTTTTTTTTTTTGGTTCCAACTTTAGCTCTTTATTATGAACCTTAAGCACATTATCTCTAGTAGCATGAGTCTTGAGAAGTCATCATCATAATAAAATGCCCATTTATTTGTCTATCTAGTCTTGAGAGTTTCAGATTTTTTATCTTCATCTGTGCTCCAGAACTGAAACCCATCATTTAAGCCTCCAAATATTATAAAGCTCATTTCACCTACAATTAGTGTTTGTACCTTGGTACCCTTGGTTGCCATAATTGTGTATTGTGTTTTATAGGAATTCTGTCAATAATGAGGAAATGCTACAGAGAGAGGGGAGGTTTTAAAAGCATACTGTTTTTTTTTCAAGCCCTTAGTAATTTCAGAGCTGCTCTCCATTAGAAAGCGATTATAGCAACTGAAAGCAAAGAAAAAACAGCTGTGTTCTCAATTTCAATTAAAATTTTTAGGAGATCTTTGGTTCATAGGCTGTTGCTTTGTAATAAAACATTGTTACACAAAAAGAAGACACTAAGAAAAAACCCAGCTCCTTTCCTACTTCTGTCATATTTAAGTGCATGAGTAAAACAAATACAATGTATTGTTATTTGAATGAGCACCTGAAGTTTTGAGTTGGAGAAGAGCTTCTGAGTTGCTTAACAACTATTTATATAGTCCTGCAAGGTAGGATAAAAACAAATGAAGAATCTTAAAATGTGTGCAAAGACAACTCCATGGGGGAAGAGTAGACAAGAAGTAGAAGTGAAATATAAATGTATATAACAATTACATGTAATTATATATAATTAATAATCACCATTATAAATAGTAATATAGCATACTTATTAATTATTCATATATTTGTATAACATATGTGACATATAATTATATATACACATATGTGTGTATGTGTATACACATATCTCCAAAAGATATCCAGGAATAAAACTTGCTAAAAGGGAATACATTCAGCTAAAAATACACAAAATGTTAGCTCGTTAACGTAACATCATCCATCTTCTCACCCCAGCCCCTTCTACTTGGAGATAAGATATGAAAGGTGAGGATGGAATGCCAATGTACCGAAACATTAGTCTGCTTACATCTACAGCTAAGAGGACTAAGGAGTATTTAGAACAGTTCACACTGAGAGATGGTCAAAGAGTTGAAAAAGAAAGCCTTTCCTCAAAAGGAAAGTTGGGGGGCTTGAGTTTGTGTCGCTCAGAGGAACCCAAGACTTGAAAGAAGCAGCTGAGGTGTTAACGTCAGCGCTGAGAGCAGAGGCGGGGTACAGAACCCAAAGGCGCTGTCACCGTTGACGTTGAGGGCTGGGTAACACTGCCTGTCAAGCTGGAGGCGGGCTTTGGAGAGCCACGCTCCCAACAAATCATCCGTCGGCCAGGGTCACGGTTCGGTCATCTAGGACGTCATTCTCGAGATGGGATTTAGATGCTTGGATGTCAGGGCCGGTGCAGGTCTGGGATGGGCAGCTCAGACCTGGGGAGGAGGTGAGGGTTGGGGCCAAAAGCTTGGATTATTTTTAGCCCCGTTTTACAAATAGCTTTCCCACCTTGAGTGCCTGAACACATCGACGGTCTCAAGGTTTTTCATCATTTCCTAGTCCCAGCTGCCTTAACTGCCTAACGTGAAGGCACAGTAACTTTCCCCCGTGACAACCTTTAAGCACCCTGGCCTCCCCTCTTGCCTGGCTTTCTGGTTTGTGGCCCTGGGGTGGGAGGTACTTCCCTCAGCCCTGGATCCGTGTCTTTGGCTGCGACTGACACTTTGGGTGTGCCCGCGGGCGTGGCGCTTAGGAGCCTAACCCTGTGTGCTCTCTACCGCCCCCCTGTGTCGGTCACCTGCAGTGCATGCCCTGATGCCCACCAGCACCCACACCCCGATCTTGCCCCGCCGTCTCCCCTGTGACAACTTAAACTTCCATCCTCCCACAACTTCCACGCACGCAGCCATCTCCCTGCTTGGCAGACGTGACTAAAACTTAAGGGACACTAGATAAATGCCAGGCTCGGAAAGCTAGCTACTGCATGTGAATTATTTCTTTAAATCTTTGTAGTCATAGGTATCTTACCATCCCCGTTTAACAGACGATGAAACAAAGTAAGCTTAAACTGACTAAAGTCACGCCTTGCTGATTGTGGAGCCTGCCTGGCCCCAGATCCCGCCCTTCAGTCCGCTGTTCGGTTCCCACTCTACCACTCTGCAAACCTGTGGATACCTCCTTACCTTGCAGCCCTTCGTATTCTCGCAGACTCTCTCTTCTTCTTGCCCCATTCGGACACCATGAGCCATCAATTTAGCCTCTCTTGACAATACATGCAACTGCCTTGCCTTCTTGTTCTGCCTCTGTCTTCTACCACACCTTGACCCTGGGTCAAACCAGTACCTCATCTTCCTTATTTCTATACACAACTAATTAAATTCTGCTGCATAAAGTCACTTTTATCTTTGTCAAGGCAACGTCACTGCCTTCAAGTGTATGTGACCTCAAGTCTGTGTCTCTCTCCTATTTTCAGAAAGAGCCAATTCCTTTTCCCACTTCTCACTTAAAAACAACAACAACCCAACACTAATTTTTTTTTAAAAAAAATTTAACTTTATTTTTGAGAGATAGAGAATGAATGGGGGAGGAGCAGAGAGAGGGGGAGACACAGAGTCGAAAGCAGGCTCCAGGCTCTGAGCCGTCAGCATAGAGCCTGATGCGGAGCTTAAACCCACGAACTGTGAGATCATGACCTGAGCAGAAGTTGGACGCTTAACCGACTGAGCCACCCACTTGCCCTGGCCCAACACTGATTTAATCAGCACTAATTCCTACTTCCATACTTCCTCATGGGCAGGGAATGGACTTACCAGTTGTTCACTGTGACACTAGAATCCAGCTGCTGGGAGTGCTCTTCCTATGTATGTGTCTTGGCCGTCGCCCTTCCCTCATTCCCTTGCATCTCGTGGAGATGTTTCCTTCTTTCTTTCCAAAGCAATTCCCTGCCCCTGTAAGTTGAATCTCATCACCTCCTGCTCTTCCGGAGTCTCCGCTGTGTCAGGGGTCTCCTTCCTATGCTGTCTGTAATCTCTCCACTGATTTTAAGCATCTGGATACACTCAGACATCTGTCATCTTACACGTAATCAATGTCCATGACCCTTCTGTTTTCCTGGGTTCCCTTAGCTAATGACTCTCATCTTCCTGTGTGTTGTAGGTAAGCTCCTTGGAGCGATAATCCCTCTTCTTCATTTCTTTGTCTTCTGCCCATTCCTCAGCCCAGTGCACTTGGGTTCCCTCCCTGACACTCCTTGACCAAAGCTAAGAGCATCATCATATTTTCAGATGCTTATTTTAGGCTGGCTATCCCCTAACCTCTGTGGATTTTTTAAAGTTTATTTATTTTGAGAGAGAGAGAGGGGGAGAGAGAGCATGGGACCACACTGGGGAGGGGCAGAATGAAAGGGAGAGAGAGAATCCCAAGCAGCCTCCCCGCCAGTCAGCACAGAGTCTGATGCGGGGCTCCATCCCATGAACTGTGAGATCATGACCTGAACTGAAATTGAGAGTTGGACACTTAACTGACTGAGGCAGCCTGGTGCCCCATTCTGTGGGGATTCGGCATGCTCGACCCATCTTACGCCCCTCACTTTCTTGGATAGCACCCTATCCTTGACTCCCTGCCACATCTTCTGGGTTTCTCTTGTCTGCATCACGGACTCCTCTTCCACTCATATTTCCTAATTGGTCATATTTTCTAGAGCCTTCTCAGTTCTTCTGTCCTCACTTTGCATACTCTCGTATTAGTCAGGAATCAACCAGAACAGCAGAGGCAGTAGGAGATGTACGTGTGAAGACATTTGTTGTAAGGGATTGGGTTACCGGACTGAGCGAGTCTGAAACCGGCAGGGCAGCCATCAGGGGGTAGGCTGCTGCCCTCAGGTGGCACTTCCCACTCAGGGCTGCCACTGCTCTTATGTTAGTGCGCTTACGACCCCCATAGCATCAT